ATAAAAAAGATGATAATAAATTAAATTATATATTAAATTGTGCAAGAAGAAATACATAAATAAATAAACGAATGATTCTCATATATAAAGTTCTCGATACACGTACATACGCGCCCTGTATCTGTCGTTCGCGATGATCATCGATCACTTTATTCTCTCCTAATCACCGCCAATTAATATCGTTTGAAGAACATCGTTACCTCGATGTACCATATCGGGGGGGCAAAATCGAGGGTAACTTTTTTAACGAAACAATGAGAATCGCGCGCGTGTGAGATTCGACTATTCAAAATCTCTTGACGACGCGCATACACTGCACTCACAGAAGCACGTCGCACTCTACTGATGGACGGACGATGCCATAAACGAATCGAACGGCTGCGACGAGCCGTTACGTTGCAATCGCGCTCCTTGAAAAAGAGAAAAGGAAATGCACCCGACACATTTTTCATACGTTGCGTATCGCGGCGGTTATATCGATGACCATCTATATATAATACGCATTGACGTATCTGACTAATGTAAAATACAATTGAAAAGTATGAAAAGTGATCACATGTCATCAATAGAAAAATCAATTAAACAACGTAACAGGTATATCGATGAAACCGATAAAAAATATCGCAACTGCACTCTGTGTGAATTTTCTATCACGTTTATTTCCCAATTATATTTTAGTAATATGCCAATAAAATATTGTATTTTTAATTCAACAAATTTTGCATTTATTTAATATTTTATTTAATATTATATCGCGCGCGTATAATTCATAAAGAAAGAATATTTAGGGAATAAAAAGAAATTATTGTACAATTTTTCTGATATATTATAGTTTCACAGTGACAATAATTTTTATATTTGTCAAAAAAATTGCAATTTACTATTACAATTAAATTTTTTTGCAAAGTTTACTGAAAGGTGTTTATGACGCGTTACGGCGCATAACATGTGCGAGCCTCAGATTCTCGCGGACACTACCGTTAGCACTTTATTAAAAGTCGTACATCATTGATCAAACTCTCTCGCGCCTGTCTATCTGTAATCTCACGATCTGCCAGACGGCATGAGCGAGGTATATAATGTATCAGATAAAATCAAACAATATTATTCAATTAGTTCAATTCTTTCCATATCTCGGTAAAAATTTAAACGATGCATTGTCACACACGTTTATATTAATGTTGACGTTATGGTATTGTTCGTTTTCTTTACAAACAAAATAATTTTTAATTTCTAAAAGTGACATTTCCACTAATCGAGTCGAAAACTAGTTCACGGTGATATCCGAATGGGGACTACGAACCGCTAAGCGGAAAGAACGAATACATGGGTTATGCGTGTCTCGACATATTGTTCTTTTTTCACGCACAAGAGACGCGTAACGATTCGCGCGTATACTCGAGTACACGCGTGCACGACTACATTAATCGACATACATCAAACAACAACAACGTGCTTTAATGGCACGACTGACAGCTTAGTGACTGAAGTGGCGCAATCATTAAACTCGGCACTCCGACATCGCCGGAGATATTTTGTCGGTAGAGAAGCAGACAAGAAAGGATAATGACCCATCTCATCGCGGTAAGTGCATCGATTAGAGCGCACACGATCCTATCCTATCAAGAGTATATTTTCTCTCTTTTTTTTTTTTTTTTTTTTTTTTTTTTTTTTTTTTTTTTTTTTTTTTTTTTTTTTTTTTTTTTTTTTTTTTTTTTTTTTTTTTTTTTTTTTTTTTTTTTTTTTTTTTTTTTTTTTTTTTTTTTTTTTTTTTTTTTTTTTTTTTTTTTTTTTTTTTTTTTTTTTTTTTTTTTTTTTTTTTTTTTTTTTTTTTTTTTTTTTTTTTTTTTTTTTTTTTTTTTTTTTTTTTTTTTTTTTAATTCAACAAATTTCGCATTTATTTAATATTTTATTTAATATTATATCGCGCGCGTATAATTCATAAAGAAAGAATATTTAGGGAATAAAAAGAAATTATTGTACAATTTTTCTGATATATTATAGTTTCACAGTGACAATAATTTTTATATTTGTCAAAAAAATTGCAATTTACTATTACAATTAAATTTTTTTGCAAAGTTTACTGAAAGGTGTTTATGACGCGTTACGGCGCATAACATGTGCGAGCCTCAGATTCTCGCGGACACTACCGTTAGCACTTTATTAAAAGTCGTACATCATTGATCAAACTCTCTCGCGCCTGTCTATCTGTAATCTCACGATCTGCCAGACGGCATGAGCGAGGTATATAATGTATCAGATAAAATCAAACAATATTATTCAATTAGTTCAATTCTTTCCATATCTCGGTAAAAATTTAAACGATGCATTGTCACACACGTTTATATTAATGTTGACGTTATGGTATTGTTCGTTTTCTTTACAAACAAAATAATTTTTAATTTCTAAAAGTGACATTTCCACTAATCGAGTCGAAAACTAGTTCACGGTGATATCCGAATGGGGACTACGAACCGCTAAGCGGAAAGAACGAATACATGGGTTATGCGTGTCTCGACATATTGTTCTTTTTTCACGCACAAGAGACGCGTAACGATTCGCGCGTATACTCGAGTACACGCGTGCACGACTACATTAATCGACATACATCAAACAACAACAACGTGCTTTAATGGCACGACTGACAGCTTAGTGACTGAAGTGGCGCAATCATTAAACTCGGCACTCCGACATCGCCGGAGATATTTTGTCGGTAGAGAAGCAGACAAGAAAGGATAATGACCCATCTCATCGCGGTAAGTGCATCGATTAGAGCGCACACGATCCTATCCTATCAAGAGTATATTTTCTCTCTTTTTTTTTTTTTTTTTTTTTTTTTTTTTTTTTTTTTTTTTTTTTTTTTTTTTTTTTTTTTTTTTTTTTTTTTTTTTTTTTTTTTTTTTTTTTTTTTTTTTTTTTTTTTTTTTTTTTTTTTTTTTTTTTTTTTTTTTTTTTTTTTTTTTTTTTTTTTTTTTTTTTTTTTTTTTTTTTTTTTTTTTTTTTTTTTTTTTTTTTTTTTTTTTTTTTTTTTTGAGCGATGCATCGATCACTTTAATGCTTTTGATACCTTATGTCTCTGAGAGTGATTTTAAAGCACGCACGGAAATAAAATCTTTACTGACATTTCTATGAAATATTTAAAAAAAAATAATAATTTTCAAAGCGGAAAATAAAAAAATACACGAATATGTCGCAGCTGAATTGTACTGTTATTTTAATGCAGATATATCCGTCAGAAACAATACGTAATTTTCGCTTTAGAATGACTGTACGAGAAATAAGCGTCAACTATGACATTAGAAATGGACTATAAGAAAAATAGCGCCGACGATATATCGTGACATCGGCACACGTGACTGCATTTACTAATCGATAGTGGCCGCACAATTCGCGACTCAAGGAAAACGCTCGACTAGTGCGTGTAATTTAATGTTAAACTATGCGTAATTCCATCGACTATTGACGAGAACGCGAGACTCCGCGTCCGGTTCGCCTCCGCGAAATGTTGATACGGTACGAGTAAGTTTTAAAATTCGATGATCCGTTCTCGCCATAACCGCGATCGCAGTGGGACGCGAGGAAAGTACAAGGCTCAAGGACGACGATAATCTATACGAGTCTAGATTTAAAAAATTCTATTAAGACTCCGTTTCTGGAAGAGAAACGAACGTTTAAACTCCTCGTTCGAACGAGTCATCGATCGATGTGTCGCGTGACAATATTATTTAAAATATTAAGATGCATTTTATAAATGATGTAAGACGGACGAATTTGCTCTGAAAAAATGACGTTAATTTATAATACATTATGCTATGAAAAAATGACATTAATTTATAATACATTACTAAACAAAAACGAAGATTAACTTATAATCCGGAGCAGAATATTTATAATAATTTCCGCACATTTAAAAAAAAAATATAACTTTATACTTCAATCAATTCATCAGTCGTATTAAATGCCGTTACAAGCACGTTGAAATACAAAAATACACCTGCACACATCATCAGGTGTAAAGGAACGATGACGAGCACTACGCACGCACGTACACAGACACATTTTCTAAATAGGAACAGGACAATTCAAAAACTTCTCGACACAAATATCTAAAAAATATTCGTCTATCTTCAGAACGTGTTCCGAATACCGATGAGATCATACTACTCCGAAATTTACAGGAAGAATTGATTTTAATACCTAAGAAAAATCCTTGCGAGATAACCTCCGAGGAAGCCGGTACGAACGTGATCGACGAGAGGATCTTGGCTGCGAACTTACTCGCGACGCAAAGGACACTGGCGGCACTGGCGCGATCCTTTCGTGTGTCCTGGAACGCGCGTGTTTACCTGGCCGGAAAGACCCCACCCTCGTCTCTAACTCTCGCGAGCGCACAGGCAAGCGTATCTCGGGGGGAAGAAGGAAATCTCGCCGAGATCGCAAGGAGGAAGGAAATTAACGTAGAAAGAAGGAACGAAGCTCGCGCTTGTCACACGAGAGGGTTATAATATTTACTCACGATATACGTGCGTCCTACTTATGTCAGGCTCCAGGATGGTCGGTGGACGACGTTTCTAGGTGGAAATCGATGCCGTGCGTGCACCTCCCGACGCGTTCACTTCACCTCGCACGTTTCCGCGGCGTGTCCCGGGATGCGCCCTGCGAATCCCTTCTGTCCACGCGACCACAACGGCACCCGTCAAACGCGACACGCACCCGCCATGTTGCCACGGCGACGCCAGCGCCATCCGCCAGCGCGACGGTCAAGTTACAGAGCGCGCGAATTTTCAAAAGTGTTACATTTTCCTCTTATTATCGCGCTCGAGAATCAATTCTGAGAGATCATTGAAAAAATCATAATAAGAAAATAATTATTATTAATCGATAAATAAAATCTCCACCGACGATTAATAACAGAAGAGAGGCGCAGAAGATGAGACCCGGAAATTTTCGCGCGGGGCACTAAAGACACGTATTACATTCCTACCCCTTTTCCGACCTTCTATCGGGCGGATGTTTTTCGCGAGAATAATACGCCGAGTCGTCGGATCGTCGTCGTTGCGTGATATCAGATGCACGAGACGGGCTATAGCCAATTCTTTAAATTTGGACATTGTCGCAATTTTTGTGGTATGTATACACGAACGCGCGTCAATCATTTGTGTAAGTCGATATTTATTGATCGCGACGATTATCGCGATCGCGCGATCTTCGCGATTACAATACCTTCACTTATTATGTTCGCAGGTACATACACACGTACCACGACTGACCACGTGGGCTGCATACACCGAATAACGCAAGCACTGCATTCATTCAGCGAGTGTATCACGTGATACTGTCATCTGTCGCATTGAGAACGTGATCGAGACGACGAGATACGCCGGAGGTTTCACCGAGAGTCTACGCGTCGACGAAAGAGGTTAGGTTGCCGATCGTAAATAGTGTCACGTGCATTCGAAAATTGCGAATCTCGTTTCGAGAATTCCAGAGCGGAAAGGTAGGGAAAATGCAACATCGTTAATTGCGTAAATCGTAACTATCGACTTTAAGATTTCTTATCAAATCAGTTACAGCCGATCAAAACTGCTGCGCGATAGAAATATGACCGATTACTTTACAATTGCATGAAAAAAGTTTCATATGATGTTATAAAGTAAGATTAAGAGAATTACGGAAATATATTGTTTGTATAGCGTCGGTGCTCTGAATCGAAAAATTGTATGTGTAGCTTGTTAACAAAAGATAGAATATATATTCCACTCGTTTTTACATTGATTAAGTTTGACAAAGATAGGAAAATATGGTAGATCAAGGCCTGTTCTCGGAGCACATGTATAACAAGAAGTTTCAAGAAGAATTCAAAGAGTACTGGCACTCCCAATCTGATTTTAAAAATGTCGATTTTGAAATTATATCAAAGCCCTTTAGGATTTGTAGAATATCAAATTTTTTAAAAAACGAGAGGTTTATAGAGAATTTAAAGTGCGAATTGGAAAATCATGATCATAAACGCAAAGTTACTGATCTCTATCAATTTGAGAAAACTGATGATTTGTGTGATGCCTCCGACTACTGTACCCAGATGTTGTACAAATCTTTCCAAAAAGATTTGGCATTGTGGATGGAGCGCAATACGAATATTAAGCTAAACAAAACTATCTCAATGTCAAGTGCTCGTTACTATGAAACAGATTATTTATTGTGTCATGACGATGATATGGGTGATAGAAGAATAGCTTATATATTATATTTGTCAAAAGGTTGGACAGAAGAAGACGGAGGTGCTTTAGATCTTTTTGATACGGATGAGCATGGTTCACCTATGAAAGTAGTAAAATCATTAATTCCGGAATATAATTCTCTTGTATTCTTCGAAGTTGTAGACAATTCCTATCATCAAGTAGCCGAAGTAATGACCGATGACAAATGCCGGTGGTCAATTAATGGTTGGTTTCACGGTCCTTTAAAAGAATGTTATCAAGCTAAATCGCCAAGACCTGAATCAATAAAAAATTTCATAGAACCGAGCACCACCGAAGTAGAATTAAGTTCTTGGATCTCTAAACGTTATCTATTACCCAATATAATGGATCAAATTCATGAGAATGTCATGAAAGAACCTTACACATTTCTTGAAAACTTTTTAAAAGAATCTGTATTCAAGCAAATTGCGAATGATTTGACGTCACAAGATATTAGTTGGCAGATGATTGGCCCTGCGGACATACGTCATTACGAGATAGCCGATGAACAAACCTTACCAAAACTATTGAAAGATTTTTATAATTTATTTAAATCTATCTCCTTTTTTCAATTGCTACGGAAATACACGGGGCTTGATCTTGTGCCCGACGAGAAGACTATGAAACCTAAGATGACGATAGAATTGCAGAGATGGTCGGCGGGGTGCTATACATTACTGTATGATAAATCGCTATTGAAAGATAGCTCAGATGATGTAAAAACTCCCCAACTCGACGACGACGTAAATATTACAGCATCGGCTGGTGCATCGACGTCAAAGTCCTCGACTGAAAGAATCTTGAATACAAGTCAATTGAAAAGGAAAAGGCTCGGCTCTTCTTGTCCAACTGTCACAAATTTGTCTCATAAAAAGGTAACTAAATATCTCGATACCCAATCTGACGTTAGCACGCAATCCCTGAGTAAGGACCTCGGACATGATGCGGATGCGAGCAAAACTTCTTCGCTTCAAGATGAGGAATTGTCTCCTAGTGACACATCAGCCAGTGACAGCGAGAATGATTCCATCAATAAAGAAGAATACACGCTTGACCTGATAATACAATTTCACACAGAAAACGAGCAGGGAGTACCAAAAACAGGCGACACGATAGATTTTATAGATCCTAGTCAAGAGCAAGGCACTCTAATTCAAATACCAACGTTAGATAATCATTTTTGTCTAGTTTATAGGTCATTGATGGTATATCGTCTTCAACAGTATTTGAATCATCTCTATGAAGGCTATTCTTATAATTTGATATGTTCGTATTATGAATAATCGCGCATGTAGTGTAGTATTAAACTCTCGTTATAAATTGATATCGTTCTATCGAAGAAAATCTAAAGAAAGAAAGACCAAAATTATTTTTTAATTATTTGATTCTGTTAACGAAAATAGCAGTCTTGGATCGAGATAACAATATTTGTTTTGCGAATGAATTGTAAATATAATATTCGTATTTTAATAAAATTTATCGTGAGGAACAAGTGAAATTTTCTTTTTAGTAAAAAAATACGTTAGCCGTGATAGTTAGGTATGCATGAAAAAAATTGCGGATATTATTCACGAAAAAGTTAAGAAATTAATTTAATAAATATACCAAAGAATGCTAATACTGATGTTAAATAAGATAATTAGTAAAGATATAGTAAATAAATATATATTCCAGTTAAAATATTTTTTTTAATTCTTGAAGGGAGAGGGAATCAACGTAGTAGATATATAATAATACGCTTGAAAAAAATATTGGTGCAATAAGCAATTATCGGCGATTTACAGACTTGCGAAAAGTTTGCGGCGATCTTGCTAAGGTAAAGGTTAAGATTATAATGCAGAAAAACATATACAATCATTTATTAGATGCGATATATACATGGCGTAAAAGGAAATCCTTTATTTCACTTGCGAGAGTCACAGCAAACATTTTCGGGATTCATGCAATCATAAAATCGGATGCGAGGAAACGCGCCAAGAGATGTTTAAGAGAAAAGTTTCCCTCGAAATTTAAGATTTGCATTTCGAATATGTGCTGTCTATAGTACAATCAGACTGGAAACTTTTCTTTCGCCCATCCACGAATTTGTGAATACGCGACGATTGGACATTGCAATTCGTGTGTGCATCCAGGAAACGTAACTCACACGCTACTCTTTGCGAGATCGATTGCGATTCTCTCGCCGCTCGTAAAGTCTCGCGACACGAGCCATTCCGTAAAGGAAGCAGGAGAGGATGAGAGAAAGGACAGATCGAATGAAAAATGAAGGCTTACGCTCTGCCGTGATTACGCTCGGTGGTTTCAGATTCCTGCACTTGAATCCTGGGTCGTGGCAGGTTCGGTTGTCCCGCTACGCCATCCTTGACTGCGGTCTTTGACGTAACCTGACACGTGATAAACTGTTTTAGTACGGAAACTACGGCACGGCGACGCGAGGTCGTAATTTCGCGCAAACGCGAATGAGTGGTTTAGAGAAGCGTTAAAGGAGTTTAGTTGCTCGTCGAACTGAATAAGGAAACTTTATCTGCCACGTGTTCCTCTCGCGTCGTCTTCTATTTCGAGAGCGATCAGTTCGCCGGAAGTTATTAATGGGCGCACCTTTAATACGGTTCCGTTCCGGGTGACTTTATCGGACATTCTTTAAGTGATCATTAAATACGTTCGTCTGATTGATTGTTATCTAACTTATCATAAGCAGATTAAATAATTTACAGCTATAAACTTGTCATATTTCTTTCCCGAAGGCACGTATATATTTTTACAAGAATTTTTTAAATTATTATCACAAAATACGTTTTTTTTTTATTTTTTGACATATGACGTAATACGTTTATGTCAAATGTATTTATTGTTGTCACATGCTACCGTAATTAAATTATTGACGCGTGAATTGGCGCTAAGTATGTACATCCCATCGACAGATTCGTTACTCGTGCAAACATTTTCGGGATTCATGCAATCATAAAATCGGATGCGAGGAAAGGCGCCAAGAGATGTTTAAGAGAAAAGTTTCCCTCGAAATTTTTAAGATTTGCATTTCGAATATGTGCTGTCTATAGTACAATCAGACTGGAAACTTTTCTTTCGCCCATCCACGAATTTGTGAATACGCGACGATTGGACATTGCAATTCGTGTGTGCATCCAGGAAACGTAACTCACACGCTACTCTTTGCGAGATCGATTGCGATTCTCTCGCCGCTCGTAAAGTCTCGCGACACGAGCCATTCCGTAAAGGAAGCAGGAGAGGATGAGAGAAAGGACAGATCGAATGAAAAATGAAGGCTTACGCTCTGCCGTGATTACGCTCGGTGGTTTCAGATTCCTGCACTTGAATCCTGGGTCGTGGCAGGTTCGGTTGTCCCGCTACGCCATCCTTGACTGCGGTCTTTGACGTAACCTGACACGTGATAAACTGTTTTAGTACGGAAACTACGGCACGGCGACGCGAGGTCGTAATTTCGCGCAAACGCGAGTGAGTGGTTTAGAGAAGCGTTAAAGGAGTTTAGTTGCTCGTCGAACTGAATAAGGAAACTTTATCTGCCCCGTGTTCCTCTCGCGTCGTCTTCTATTTCGAGAGCGATCAGTTCGCCGGAAGTTATTAATGGGCGCACCTTTAATACGGTTCCGTTCCGGGTGACTTCATCGGACATTCTTTAAGTGATCATTAAATACGTTCGTCTGATTGATTGTTATCTAACTTATCATAAGCAGATTAAATAATTTACAGCTATAAACTTGTCATATTTCTTTCCCGAAGGCACGTATATATTTTTACAAGAATTTTTTAAATTATTATCACAAAATACGTTTTTTTTTTATTTTTTGACATATGACGTAATACGTTTATGTCAAATGTATTTATTGTTGTCACATGCTACCGTAATTAAATTATTGACGCGTGAATTGGCGCTAAGTATGTACATCCCATCGACAGATTCGTTATTCGTATAATTGGACAATATTGATTAATTGCGCGAGACGGAACGGAACCAGGACCTTTATTCAGATCGTCGTCCGCAGATTACTAATCACCTGGGACGTGGTGGCAATCCCGGCCATACGTTTCCGTAGCTCGTTCAATTGCAGCTCCTGCTG